GAAATTACGTCGCTTTAAACCTCTGCAGCGTTTCACCCTCGATTCATCCCTGGAGGTAGTCTTGCTCCCCTCCTCTCTCGATCTCGACAAGCACGGTAGCACGTGTCCTTGCAGTCCCCTTTCCCGGCGCTGAATAGCTCGCGTTTCTTCACGCGAAATATGGAGAGAGTCGTGAGGGACGTAAGGCTGAAGCTCCCCTGCTTTCCGCGCTGGAATTCGCGTAGGGAGGAGAGAGAAAGAGGATCCGGTTCTTGCTGCCATAATACACGGATTACGAGTGCCTCGTTATCGCCTCATAATTTTATATCCCGACTTCCGTGCAATGTTCCGTGCGCGGGAGAGGGGAAGGGGGATGTTGGTACGCCGCCACGTGCGCGCCCCGTTTTGTTCCCTTATTAAAGCTCACCCTCCGCTGCACCGAGCAGCGTTTGTAAACGCTCCTTCGGAGTTTACACAGGCCGCACGTGCCCCGTGAGCCTTTCGTCGTTTACAGCGGATGTGTTCGTCCACGCAACTTCGCAATGCCGCCACCGTCGTGGATCGAGGCCTCTGCTCTCTCTCGAGATTTCCGTAGCCATGTGTTAACCAGAAAGCCGTACGTTACGTTACGTCGTACAATCCGTTTCAGTTTCTTCCTTGTTTTTGCCTGTCGTCAAAATTATTAAGTTTGTCGAAAAAGATCGAATATGCTATCTGTTTTAAAGTCCAGTATTCGTCACTTTTCCGTGACAAAGGATCATCGGAGCTGGTCGCACGCTGTTGAATTCTCTTGATGAAACTCTCGTGCCAGACCCTTCAGATCCAGACGCAAGAATGCTAAAATAGGATTCTTGTATCAGGAAACCGACCGACTCTTCCGCTCGTGGATACTTCATGAACCGCGCCCGGATGAGCTCTCTCTCTCTCTCTCTCTCTCTCTCTCTCTCTCTCTCTCCCCGTAACTCTTCGACGACGTAATGAGAACAGACGGGCTCTCTGCTTCGTACCAGAGACCGATTTCACGTGTCGGACCACGGGTGTCGCGTATGAGTCCCTCTTGAGGGAGTATAAATAGGTGCCGTGCGCAAATATCGCGGTCGTTGCTACCGAGACGTGCCACGAAGGCAATTCGCGAACGCAAGTCGAACGGTCTAATCCACGTCCGGCGACGTCTTGATTTTATGTCTTTCCGTAATCGCATGACGTATATAGACCGGTTCGTAAAATTCGCCCATCTCCGTTTCTCCTTGCCTATTGTTTACTCTTTAAGACTGACGTCGAGGAATATGAATTCATGAAGTAAAAGGATAGGAATGATCAATTGAATATGTAAAATGTTTTTAAATTCATATTATTAGTCTGTTATTAACAGACAAACTTTTATAAGATCGAAATGCTTACCTTAAACTGTGACTCTCTTTATTAATTATAAGTTATTCTTATGCTCAAAGACTCAAAATGCTATTATACCTATTCTTTTTCCTAAAGAAAATTGTTGAGGACCTATTTTCCTTCATTTTTTCCTTTATTTAAAAGTGATTGGTTATTTGTTATTTAAACAAATTAAGTAGGACTATATTATATATTCTTTTTTATGACAGATCCTACGAATGATATAAAATATTTTGAGAAATTGATAAATATTTATAAATATATATGCTTGTAACCGAGAGCGAGCGTAACGTATAGCAGATAGCGCATTGGTTTGCTATGTTAGAAGTCTCAGGTTCGATCCCAGCTAGGCAGAGCCAAAATGTGTAAATACGCTTTGTATCTCCTCTCCGTGTTGGTCTGGCGAACCAACGAGAGTATTCTAGACAAGAATTTGTCAGAAAAATTGGCCGTTCGAAACCGACGTTAAAAATTGTAGGTTCCATATATGACGATGTGATAAAAACCACATGTGCACCTCTAGTCATATGTGAGAGGATCGGAGACGTGTTGTCCCCGATCCTCTACACATATGACTATTGGTGCGCTTGTGGTTTATTATTTCGTCATATACGGAACCTACAATTTTTGCTACTGGAACAAACTAATAAGTGAAATTTGAAGTAAATGAGAGAGCATGTTGTTTTTTATGAGTTTTTTTTATAAGGTTTTATAAGAGAATTTACATTTCTCTTGGAACGAGAATGGCGGAACACCCTGTATACGACTTGTTGCTCACGTCGAACACGATGCCAAGTCTATCAATCACGTACTCTCGCAGTTTTGTTGTTTCTTGACGACTAAAACGGATGTGGTAGCACAGCGAACCATAAAAAATAATCGTGCCCCCTCAATCGCTAATTTTAGACAATATGATGCTTTTTTAACAGTTATGTATGGTATTATTTAATAGAGTTATTTATAATAAATTCTTTCCGAACAGATTCTTTGTAAATGCATATTGTATCAATTAAACTCTTGAATGACACAAACTTTAAATGTTGAAAAAATTACAGATTACCAAAATCATGTTTTGATTCGTGAAAATCGTGTTTAAATCAAGTGTCTAAAAGTAATCGTTCGCGACGTACATCGAGCGTTTGAAATCAACATCGAAGGGACTTCGAGCATTTTTGTGATTCACTGTATGTACGTACCATTATATGCACATCGTTTAACTTAATAGATTGTACTTGCGCTTTTTCGACGTTATCTCTATTCGCCGTTATCTCTATCGTCGTTTCTTTTTTTCTTATTCCGGCATCGTTTCGACGACGCATCGTTTCCGGGCGCCTAGGCCGTATGCGGGTTGTGACCGGTCGAGACCAGAAAGAAACGTGGTTCCTGACCGTTTGTGTGTCACGATGCCGCTTCTAGCGGTACACAGAGTGCGTACGTACATCAGCATGTTATTGTTATGCGACGGCTGTTTTCTTACGTCGAGCGTATCGACCCGCCACGCTTTTGCAAGAGCGTCCGTGCTCTTTCACCTGAGAACCAATGTCTCTTCGCTCGTGCGTCAAACCAAATAAACAACTGGAAATGAGGATTACTCGAGAATAAATTTTCATGCAACGTATGTTTTCTTACTGCTACTTCATAATACGTAATTGAGACGCTGTTTCTCCACAGACTTCCAATTGCTGATACCACTTTTATTTAATACTGCAATTATCTGCGTTTGTTCATGCTTGTTTTTTGATGCAGCTTGATATAACGACGATAAAAATTTATTCTCGAGTAACGCTCGTTAGTAAAATAATCTAATTAAGATAAAATTAATTATTAGTAAGATAATTAATTTTATTAATCGGAAATCGATGACGACATTTAAGATGCCAAATTATTTTATTTTACTGCTTTATTCATAATTAATGAAATTAATTTAAATATGTGTTAATATTTAAGTGAATAAATAATTGTCAACATATAGATAGATCCCCGTGCGATTGTAAACGAACGGGATGGAACCGTCAGCTTGTTAAGAAAAGGCGCCAACACCTGTCAGTTCACATATATCCAAGTCGCTCTCCCGAGTCGTGCTATCTTAATCGCATGACATTAACGTAACGGACTGAATGCCATCCTATGTTGCACATTGCACTTTAACGTTCAGCCATTTCTTCGCGGAATATCGGCAAATGTCAGCCCCGCCGCGCGTTTTCGCTAAACCGGACGCGAGCCACAACGATATCGATAGTGTAAGCTCCCGTCGTACATACATAGTGACTGACCTCTCCTGCAGACCTTACCGCTGACCCGCGGTGCACATACGGCGGAGATTCGCGATAATCTCGATCGTCGCGTGGACGATACGTTATCACGTGCTGTCGTCATCGGTTAAATGCGGGACGCAGTTAAATGCGGGAGAGAACGACGCGGATGGAAACAGAACAGCAAGAGACAAGGGATAAATCTGTTCTCTGTCTTTTCCGCGCGTGGGCGAATCCGGGAACCCGCGGGAATCCGGCTACTCGAACGAAAACAAGCAGTTAATGATCGAGCGTGCGGGGCTCTAAATCCGCGAAATATTTATAGATCGCAGCTGCGATCGCGGTGGATTCGTCCGATCTCGCGGCAGTAAAAATCCCGTATTCCGCCCGGCTGTGGCGCGCGAGTTTTTAAAAATATCATTTGGATCCCTGCAGCGCGACGCGACGCACCCATAATTCCGAAATTCAGATTCCAATTGGAATCTCTCTGCCTCTCGTTACCCTTCGCGTCTTTGTCCTTGTAATTAGATTATAATTGCATTCTCATACGCGCGCATTTCCTCTGATCCGTATCCGATTTCGGGGTCTCCCTTGTGTATCACTCGGCACGCAGCCCCTCGCAGATCGCAGTCCCACATGTCTACGGCTTAATGGTGATTTTAAGCGGTAACCTCACCCCCTCCGGGGACCCGCATCGACCTTCGGTACCCCGAAGTCGTTAAACGGTACGCGTTAGGAAATGTGCGACGCGGCGCGAACAGCTGTGAAAATTGACTTTTCGGCGAAGCGTAAAGCGGGCCGTATACGCTCCGTAAATTCCGTCGACGGATGTCTTGCTCCCGCCGCGCGCGAACGATCCCTGACGCGGTTTTTCGACGGAACCCTTGGATTACTCGACACCCTTCTCGTCCTCGCGTCCGTCCTTGCCCGCCACCGAGCCCTTAAGTATATTTACTCGGGACGCGGATGGACGTACGTAAACGTCGTGTTCTCCCTGCTTCAGATGTCCTCGACCGACAGATATAAACTCAGGTTCTCCGCGCGCTCAGAGAAAACAAAATAAGTCTGCCAACTATAATACGATAATTCTGAAATTTGAGTATCCGCGCGACTAGTCGTATAAAATCGTGAGAAAATAGCTTTGAGATTTATTGAAATACACAAAATTTCAGAGGGCGAAGAAACTCCCGTAATATTTTCCCTAAAATTTGAAGTTTATGATTGAGGCAACATGTACTTTTATTACATGCATTATATGTAACATACTAGTATCATTTGAGAAGAATCAAATATTATATTTTGAAGAGAGGGATGCTTTTTTTTGTAAACAAAGCAATCTTCCCCGCTTTAATTTCTCCGTCGTTCTCGTTGTTACAGACATCGCTATGGACTGGTCGGACCACGCGCTTTGGTGGCCGGAACGGAATCACTGGCTGACCAGGACGCGCAGCACCCTGGACCAGTACGGCGTGGCGGCGGACGCGCTGCTGCATTTCACGCCGATGCACAAGACCCTGCGGGTGCAATTGCCGGACATGCGGTGCCTCGACTGCCGCGTCGACTTTTCCGTCAAGACGTTCAACGCGGTCATCAATTTGTGCAAGGAACTCGGTGAGTCGCGAACCCATTTGACACCGTTTAAGGAGCGCGAATCGAAACGGGCGCGGCGCGAGTCAATCGGGCCGGCGTGCCATCGTTTAACGACGATTACAACGGAGAGAAAGAATGTACAGATGTCAATTGATTAATGTCGTAGACGGCGCGCGTGATGAATTTGACCAGAAGAATTTCGCGTCTCTTTTACACAACAGCGCTCGTCGTGGAGAACATTTAGCTAATACGAGGAAAAACGCGAGGGATACTCCGTGTACGCATGTCGACATGGTAAAATAATCTGTTTTGCAACAGCAGCCTGCATGGCAGTTTCTGTGATTATCTAAGTGACTTTACGTCACGTCGTCTTTTTGATGGCGAGCCGATCGAGCGAGAAATCTTCTCGAATTACGAAATCTTTTGTTATGCCGCGCGTTTTCAGCGCGCCAAACACATATTTCTTTTACTTACTATAACAAGTGTATTTATCAGTGAATAAATGTAATAACGCGTTTTCTCTGCCGTGATGTAGCGCGCGATATAACTCCGGAGGAGTGGATAAAAGCGTGTCACCGGTAATTAATATTGCACGTGGCAGCGAAATAGAAGCGATAAGCTCGCTCCTGTCACGCGAAGGTCGCATAAACCGTCGCGCGGCTGTCGATTCGCCACCGCGGCGAGCACCGAGTTCGCTTTTTTTTTTTTTAATCAAGGAAGTGGGTTAACGCGATAATTCCGTCGCGAGGATAAAGCTGACTCTCGAGTAGGAGGAAGTACGAGTCGGAGATACGAGCTTATCGGTTTACTAATGACCTAAAAAGTGATTCCGCGTTCGGAAAATATCGCGTTATAACGTTGCTGAAATAAACGCGGCTGCTGGTGTTCGCTCGCCTCGCAGCTCAGCTCGTCCCAAGCCTAAATAGCGGCTTTCGCACTTCTCGTCGGTGATTCTATTATTAAATGGATCGACTTGTAATGAGATCAGTGTGTCATAATCATAAATAGATTCCAATGCATGCGATCTAAATCACTTCGCTTCCTTGTAGGAATATATTCAGAGGGAATGAATGTCATAATTGTTTTTACCTCGCCTTTGGCTGCACTTTGCGCGCAAGCGAAGGAGACACGTGTCTCCGTATCTGTCTTCTCAATCGAATAGACTTGACAACGCGAGATTAATTAATCGCGCAAATCTTTCGCGATTACCGCCGCAGGCATTAGACATCCGGAGGAGCTCTCGTTCTGCAAGCCGCTCGAGCCGAATCACCTGAAATACAATCTCAAGGATCTGCCGGTCAAGAAGAAGATCGAGAATCAGAAGAACGGGCACTGGAACGTATCGGCCGATACGAATACCTTTATCCCGGCCAGCCAGAGTCCCAGGGGATCTACAGGAAGCTTAGATCAATCGAGCCCATTCATGTGCGCGCCAGTTACGCCCAACAACAGAAATCACAGCACGCCGATCAGCTCACCCGTCTCGGTAAGCTTACAAGCGTACAAGCGAGATTTTTCTCAATCCTTTCGTTTGCACAGTCATATAGCACATATTTAAAATTATGAAATAAAATATTATATTGCCGGCTATATTTTCTAGTTGTGAATGTACATTAATTTCTTTTTAATCTTGCGTATAAATGATCATAAAAACTTCAGGTTTGTATAAATAGCACATATTTCTTGATGAAATAAGGTATTATCATTTCTCATTTATTACCATTTGATTATAAGAATTATTATAAATAAATGGTCTTTCAAAATTACAACTTTTTTGACATATTTCAAATGGAATTATTGTTCAAAAGTATGAGAAAAGCAAATTATTACATACAAGTTGCACCAAAAATAATATATATAAAATCTTTAAACGTTTCCAAGTTTTTATCAATCGCTCAAATTTTTGTCATGTAATGCACATGTAAAAATATACTTTTCTGTTAAATAATTTAGGAATTAATGGGTTAAGGTAAAGTAAATTTTTGTAAGATAAAATAAATTCTGGAGGGTTAAGATAAAATAAATTTTTGTAAGATAAAATAAATTGCGGAGCTTACCGCATTACGATATGTTCAACGAGAAAATAGAAATTCTGAATAATGTAAATATATCTAATTGTCGTATAATTATTTTTACAACAACGTTGCGTCAATGCGCATTTGCGAATTTATATTTGCAAATTTCCAGCACACCGGCACGTGGAAGAGGAACAACAATTCATCCGGCTTCGGCAGCACCGGCTCCTTCAACGCCAATAACAGCACTATGAGCCTGGAGGCGTTGAACGGCGGGCTGACGGAGTCCCTGGCGCAGAGTCCGACGTCGATCTCGCCGGAGGTGCGGGTGAAGCTGATCAGGCCGAAGAGCCTGATCGAGAGGGCGAGGATGAACGTCGGCTGGCTGGACTCCTCCCTGTCGATCATGGAGCAGGGTATCCGCGAATTCGACACGCTCAGGCTGAAGTTCAAATTCTATTCCTTCTACGATCTGAATCCGAAGACCGACGCGGTGCGCATCAACATGATTTACGAGCAAGCCAAGTGGCAATTGCTCGCGGAGGAGATCGACTGCACCGAGGAGGAAATGCTGATGTTCGCGGCGCTTCAGGTATCCGAACGATTGCATTCTTAGTGGAAATAACGTTAACGCGTTGGCTGCCACGACGGAACTCATTCGGGACCGATGCTGTCAAAAATTTTTAAACGCTGATAGAAAATAATTCATTTAATATAAAATGTTAAATTGTATATATAGCTAGATAAGAATATAAAGTAAAAAGTGCGCTGTTCAACACAGCATTCATGATGCAGTTTTGTTAATCATATTTTATTTTATTTATTTGTTATACAATACTTATAATAATACTTATAATACTTAAAATACTTATAATAATTTATTTATTATATAATACTTATAATAATGAAATTCTGCGATTACACGAAGTATATAAAACTCGGTGAGCAGGCAACACGCTAAACGTTTGCAGAATTATTTGAATAGGATAGGAAATAGGACTTTGATTTTCGACAATAATTTTGAATAAGTTTCGAAGTGCGTTTTATAACTCCCAAATATTTCTTTCTGTCGAAATCCACGCGTTTGAATTCCTGTCGTTCCATTTTGCGCAAGAACCGAACATGGAGACTTGCTTAGAAATATGTGGCAGATGCAAATGTATCGTGCAGGCGGATAGAGACATTAGAATACATTTCGTATCTCGGTTTTCGATATAGTCCTTCCATTCTTTGCCGTACCATCGCGCCTCACCGCGCCGCCCGGTTCGGTTCTCGTCCGTTCTCGATATATTTATGCCGCTCCATCACGAGGGAGGAACCCCACGCGACGCATAATACATGCAAATAGCCGCGTCCTTGAACCGATTGCCTCGCCAGCCGGTGTGCTCCACCATAGCCGCGGCAATGCCGTCACGCGACAACACGACCAAGAAAAGATGCGGATCGTCTCGCCTCGACCCACAAAATATGTTTTGTACTTCTTGCACACACCTACTCTCTCCCCGTCGTCGTCCTCGCGACGCAGACGGAGAGAGAGAGAGAGAAAAGAAAGAAGAAAAATAAAGAAATCTCCACGATCGACGTTACCCACGGCTTCTCCGTTGCAGGTACAAGTGAATCTTCAAGCGAGCGTGCCGCAGCCCACGTACGACAGCAACGGAGCGACTTCGCCCGTCGAGGACGACATCGACGCGGCCTTGACGGATCTGCAGGTGACCCTGGAGGGCAGCAACATCAGCAACGGGCCCAGCGATATCACGCAGGTGCCTGAGCTCTGCGACGAGCTGCGTTTCTTCAAGCCGAAGCGTTTCACGCTGAAGGCCTTCAAGCGTTATTGGTTCACGTGCCGCGATCTCCAGCTCAGACTCTACAAGAGCAGGGAGGAGACGGGCGGCTCGGAGTCGCCGGTCTACGTGATCAATTTGCGCGGCTGCGAAGTCACGCCGGACGTACATCTGTCGCAAGGTCGCTATGGGATCAGACTGGAGGTGCCCAGCGCCGAAGGCATGACCGAAATGTGGATAAGATGCGACAACGTAAGCGGATTAACTTGGCATTAACGTGGCGTGTCGTCGCCGAGCGCGGCAACATTATTGAATTAATTATTACTTAAACGATATATTAACGCTCGCCATATGTTGGCGTTTGGCCACGCGCCACCAATATCGTTAATAGCAGACGCACGTTGCGTCGCGCGTCGAAAAGGAACGCGTAAAGTTCTCACGAAGTTAAAAATTAAATATTAAAATTTATTCAATTTGTCTTTGAATTTTATACTATTGCCATTTTTTTCCATCATTATTCCAGGAACAACAATACGCAAAATGGATGGCCGCGTGCAGATTAGCGGCCAAGGGCCGCACCCTCGCCGACGCGTCCTACGAGAGCGAGGTCAACAGTATCATAGCTTTCCTGCAACTGCAGAGGCCCGCGCCCGCGCCGGCCATCAATCCGAACGCCTTGGACATCGTACCGGAAGACTATGTCGCGCCGAGATTCGCGAAGAAGTTGAAAGGAAAGGTAACAAAAATCGTTCGTCCGCATTCAAATGAATCTTCGTGAATGAACGATGAAATCAGCCAACTGCATCGATACATTTTTTTCCACGTAGCTGGTTCAAAGAATCTTGGAAGCGCACGCGAACGTTAAAGACCTGCCCCTCATCGAGGCGAAGCTGAATTACATCAAGGCCTGGCAGTCCCTGCCGGAATACGGTATCTCGCTCTTCATCGTGCGATTTACCGGTAAGAGCAAGGACGAGCTGTTAGGTATCGCCAATAACAGGCTAATGCGAATGGACCTTCACAATGGCGATCATTTAAAGACTTGGAGGTATAATACTATGAAGGTATGTATTCATTTTTTTTGTCTATTTTCTGCGTTTTCTCTCGTACATTTTTTTTCACGAATTCCTTTGATTTGGCAAAGATGTAAAACGTTATAAATGGAAAAATGACAATAAACAATTTTTACTACAGAAAAATCATTTGGAATTGATTAAAATCTTTAATTAAAAAAAAAACGTGTTTATTAAAGATTATGATATAATCTATGCATATAAGATGAAAGTGAATGGTCTTATCTTCTTTACAGGCGTGGAACGTTAACTGGGAAGTGAAGCACATGATGGTACAATTCGAGGAAGAGAATATCATTTTTGAATGTCAGTCAGCGGACTGCAAGGTTGTCCACGAATTCATAGGAGGCTACATCTTCCTGTCGATGCGCTCGAAGGAGGCGAATCAAACGTTGAACGAGGACTTGTTCCACAAGTTGACCGGTGGATGGGTTTAATCCGGTACTGCGATGAGTGCATAAAACCGAAACGGGTTCTAACATATTCTCAGAAGCGATGATGAGATTATCTACATGCGTCGCGCGCCTCGTTGCGTGCCTGTTCAAGGACCGATGTTTTTGCATGCCGATTGACACTTGTAAAAATGCTTAAATCTGGTCGTATTTATCATGTTTTAACACTGAATGCTGTAAATAGAATATTATGTCCCTTTTATGCGCGGAAGTGTTTTAGCGATTATATACACTTAATTTTTATTCGACAGGAGGCTACTTCCGAAAAATGTTTACCAATGCGTTTACCTTATTTACAAGGTACTAACAATATTGACAAACGTTATAATCACGGCCTCTTTTCCAAGAAAAAATAATCATCCGTTTTATATATTTACAATGGTTTTATAAATAGATATTTGCGACACTGTATTTTACAAAGATGGAGATTATACTTTTATACGAAACTTTTTCTACTTACTTGAAAGAAAAATCAATCATTGAATATCGAATTTAGGAACAAATATGTCAAGCCCGCACAAGTAAAAAAATCTACGAAACATATCGTGGTGTGTTAGGTAATCTGCCACAAAGAAAAAATGTTCGATTTCAATTCTTTAAAGGAAGTGATAATATGAAGCCCCGCCCGCGGTTTCGAATGATTTATACACCACGGCCGTTAAATATTTAATTTAAAAATTCTTTTAAACTAGCGATTTGTTTTACGTCGCATGAGGAACTTTTTAATCCTTGTAATCCTCCCCCTCACAATGCGTGTCAGTGTCCTCTTCAGTATCCCAAGGTGCTATACTAACCGAGCTCGACTTTACAACGCAAGAGATCGAAGTGTAAATTATTTGTTATTTTAATGTAAATTAGATGTAGAAGAATTATATCACTTATACCGTTATATATTACATTCACAGGAGATACCCCGTTATATGTGTATGTAACAAAAAAAAAGATTATAGTTTTGTATATTAATAGGCAGTAACTCTGTACAATAAACTTATTAATGTATTCGACAGATTTTTTAAAATTTCTATTCTATCTATCGTGTCATGAAACTGGTAGCATATGATAGTTGGACGATTTGTAGAAAAAAAGTGGAAATTGATTATTCAATAACGATTAAGCGGAATAATAACATTTAACATTAATCGATTAAATTTTCCTCGTATTGGACAGGTGGTTTACAATTCGAATTTGTTATGGACGTTTTTATTGAACAATACGTTATCAACATCCGTGTAAGTTCGCAATCCAATAGGAAATTAAAAAATATATTAATAAGAACAAATGTAAACGTCTTCGAAAATGATTTTTTGAAATTTTTAGTCTGCAATCTCTTGTATTTCCAATATTGTATAGCTTGTCGATCGTGTTTCTTTTCGCGAATCTTCTTATCCCACGGTGATAGACAGCTGCGGATCTTTCCCCGCGGTGTTTGTCATCTTCGAGGACGGTTGATTCTGATTTTCCGAATTTTTTAATGCGGGTAGCGCCCTCGCTACAATAGGTACGTTTCTGGACCCGCCCAAGTTACCGCCTCCACTCATCTAATTGCACAGGCGACAAGTCGTTACGCTTCTTCGAAATGATCATTGTATAGAATGCAATTATCTCTCGGATTAAATCTCATGGATAATGGCAAGCCCAAAAGTAGATTAATCTTCGTAGTTTTATGTGACAAAAATATCTATAAAATCTTTTGTTGTGTTTAGAAATGCTATCTATTGTGATTTTATATTGATCAAGATTCCTGGTTATATAGATGAATTGGTTTACAACAAAATAATCTCAATTTTAACTTTACACAGCAAGATAAATTAATTTTTTGCACGTTACAACTCGTTAGAATACTCTTCGGAATATGTTAAAAGTTCTCTTTCCGATTCATGGTTTAAGAGATAAATGTAGCAAATTATCACAAGTTGCAATTTCGTTAAAAATTTGAATTATACATTCACTTATTAAAGGGCAAAATAAAAAGAAGGAATCTTCTCCGTTTTACATTTTATACAAATTTCCGCAAAATAATGACTCGCGTAAAAAAAAAACTTTATAACACAAAAAATTCACATAATTCCTGGCTATCGTCATGATCGACTGGAGACCAGGGATCTTGAATGTAACATTACAAATTATATTATTTGTCGTAACCGGAGTATGACTCGGCGGCGCTGAGTGGACGAGTCTTCCGGCGAGGGAGCCCATTCTGTCCTTCCTCGTTCTCACCCACTCGTGGCCCAGCACCCTCTCGAGCGTAAGTCTGAGAGTGATGTCCGGCTCGAGGATCCGCCGGACGATGTTCTTCGCCAACGGGGATACGATGTCGCGGACGCGTGACCTGAACACCCAGTTGCGCGACATCTGATCCTTGAGGAGCTTCGGCATATTCTCGTCGTCGAACGGCATCGTCCCGTTCAGCATGATGAAGAGGATAATGCCGAGCGACCAAACGTCCGCCAATTTCGGATTGTACGGGGTGCCGGCGACGACCTCCGGCGCGGCGTAAGCCGCCGAGCCGCAGTACGTCTGGCTCAGGACCCGCCTGCCCTCGTGGTCCATGCAGAATCTGGCAAACCCGAAGTCCGCCAGTTTCACATTGAACTTCCGCGAGAGCAATATGTTCTCGCACTTGAGGTCCCGGTGGGCGATGTTCTTGCTGTGCAGGTAGTGCAAGCCGGACGCCATCTGACGAAACCACAACCGCGCCTGTTGCTCCGGCACCACGCCGTTGTTCTTTACGAAGTCCAGGAGATCGCCATTGTCGGCGTAGCGCATGAAGATGAAGACACGCGGGCCGCGCTGTAGGATACTGTGCACCTACGCTCGACCGGTCGATGCGATTAGGATTACTGACGCGTTAACGGCTGATTTAGGCGAAATGTGATCAAATTATGGATTACAATTACTAATTGTAATCGTATTAATATTAAAACTACTGCTCGCCCGCATAACTTTATATATAAATAATTTTTCGCGCGTAGAGCATGAAGTTACTATCGATATTGTTAAATCTAATTTTATTCATGTATTGTAAAATAATGATGTAACTATGAAAACGATTTGCTCGTTCGAGAGAGAATCGTTGGTGAAAGAATTTTCGATCTCGAGTTTCGAAAGAAAAGGAGTGTAGCGTGAGTTTCTCCACTCGATTTATTCCTCCCTTATCAATCAGAGAGATGAACATTTTCCTGATTAATCTTACTTGAATGATATGCGGATTTTCTATCTTTGTTAAAATCTCAAGCTCGCGGGGAAAGAACTTGTCCAAGAAGTCATCTGGCGCCTTCTCCTTATCGAAGATCTTACAGGCCAGACGCATTTTCTTGGAGCTCGCTCCATCGATATACTCTGCCAGATGGACGGTTGCGTAACAGCCCTAAAAAAGATCTACTTTAAAGGACGAATGTTCCTCCGCCTCGTGGTTTTATTTGTGCAATGTATAATGATGCAAAGGATCCTTTAATTTGATTCATTTGATGGAGCCTGTAAATAAACATTAAATTACGAAATAATCGAGAAATTGATTCGACGATCAAAAATCGCCGCTGTACAAATCGAAGGAAGCGCTATTCGCGAGAGTGGATGAAGAGGCGGGAAGAAGAGATGACGAAGTGTGTTAAAATGAACGACAAAAAGGAAAGACGAGAGGAAACAATGAACAACCTGTCCGATCTTCTTGCCTATGAGATAGCCCCGCTGCTCAAGAGCGTTCACTTCCGAGTTACGGGGGCTGAGTCGCGTGGCCATGCCAATGGTCCTTCATCGACCCCTCATCACTGGACCCTTTTCCCCTCCCGAGGGCGGTCGGTTCAAGTCTTCGATCGTCTTCTCGACCCGACAACACGTGCGTGGGAGACACCACGTGCTTGCAGGATTCACCGGGAATTTCTCTACCTTGCTCCCTTCGTGTTTACGCCCGCTATTCCTCGGCCGGCAGCGGCAAGTTTCGTTGACGCGGTCTCGACGGTGCACGAAGCATCACCGAATACCACGGCGGAATGGTGTCTCGCTGCTACGTCGACGCTTCCGGCGATAATGCGGATCCGTTCGGTCATTTGAGGCGGCTGCGAGCACTAGAATTTTGGACAAGCCCGGGACCAGCTTGTGCCTGGTGTGCGACGGGAGGAAGGTAAGGATCCGCGTCTCATTCGAGCGCAGCCATTATACTTGGAAGTGCGAAACAATCAACGCGCGAGATCGATCGTGCGTGAGAATCTCGTATCGCTTCTCGCTGTAGAGAGACGCGAGCCAATTTTCGGACGATGTTGGCTACTTCGTTCCCTCAATTATTTATTCCATTGCTTGATAACTATTTTCTTAGGGAATGTTATTTTCAAATCTTGCTGTGATAAAGTTAGCCATAATCACATAATGAACAATTGGAAATTGTAACATTACTGTTACAATTATGTAAATCCACTTCAGCATTGTGCATTTTAATTTAACTTATTTATTCTTTTTAATATTTTACTATATATATTTATGAATATAAAATCACACAATTTCTAATTGTTCATGCATTAAAATGCACAATGCTGAAGTGGATAACGAATATTGAAAGAGAATAAATGTAAGAACAGACTTATGTGTATTATTAAATATACATGTTTGAAACATTATTGAACAAAAGTCTTAAGTTTACATGTAATACAAAATTCTAATCTCATAGAAAAAAAATAACAGATCAGTAATTATAAATTTCAAATAATATAAATTTTATGTTACATATAAAAATCTCAATATAATTTATGAAATTGTTGTGTATAAACCTACTTTTCTGGATGTTATTAGTAGCTACGTCCGAAAAGTGTATAAAACTTCGGCTTGTTTTTGCAACCATGATGAATGCAATTAAGCTCGTTAAGTGGTTTTGTTTTTGGCTGATCAAATGGTATACACAAACTCTTAGCGCCCATTAATGATTCGTTATCCGTGCTCTCTCTGTAATTAAACAGAACATATTTAAATTCGGTAAAACAAGACCGCTTTCAATATTATTCTTATACATATTTATATTTACTTATTAAAATTAAAGAAAGTTTAGATACCTTTTTAAAAAATTTAATTTACGTTTAAATTTTCGAATTATTATAATGAAAACAATTTGCAATAAAGATATTATCAATAAGTAATATAAAACAAATAGTTCAAATGATTAAAGAACAAGTAGTTTGTTCTACTGTAGTTTGCAAAATTACAGATAAAACTTATTTTTATGTTTTTTATCTCATTAGTAAATTAACATATTTAAATCTTTTTCTTTTCTTGTATAATTTTAGGCTATATTTTAGGTTTCTTTTAAATAAATTTAAGCGCATACAGATTTTTTTATGTACAAAAGGAAATTTTACCTTGTACTATCCTGTTTAATCTTATCTTCGCATGTCGGCTCTCCGCAGAAAGGTACCAACAATAAATTCTTTTTGTTAAGCTCGGGGTTGAAATCACTCCACTTTTCTATCTGTTTAATATGCTCATTTAACTTGTTTCTCGCTCTGTAAACAAACGAAATTGCATGATATCAACTGTATACGTTATCATATATATTATTGGTTAAAAAAAATTTTTGAGCAATGTTTACCTCGACAGCAATTGCTCGTGCACTTTGTTCAGTATCAAGGGTATCGTCTCCCTTACATCGCCTTTATGAACAGCTATTCGCTGGAAGGTATCCCTTCGCACGACCGTTACTTGATTTTTGAGCATATCTTCGGGTCCGAGCTCGATTCTTATTGGCACGCCTTTCAATTCCCAGTGATTGAATTTCCATCCAACTGTTCGATTATTTCTGAAATCGCCTTTCACCCTAATACCATCTTTACCCAATGTCTCGACCCAAACAGCACATTGGGATAGAATATCATTTTTTAATTCTTCACGACAATCTGCGCCTATGCCGCAAGGAATCACAACGACTTGCACAGGTGCTACATTCGGAGGCAACACTAAACCTTTGTCATCTCCGTGTATCTAAATAAATATTCGTTACATAAAAGTACATAGCTTAATTACGTAAAATATCATGTGTCTGTAAATGACGATATTTATACTAACCATTATCATGACTCCAATCGTTCGTGTAGTTAAACCCCACGAATTTTGATAAACAAACGTCTTTTCTTCTCCGTCGATACCTTCCACCTGGATGTTAAACATCTTCGAGAAGTTCTGTCCCAGATAATGGCTCGTCGCTCCCTGTATCGCGCGACCGTTAGTCGAAATAAACGCCTCGACGGTAGTGGTGTAATCGCCACCCGCGAATTTCTCCTTCTCAGTTTTCCGGCCTTTGACGACGGGTACCGCTAACAAGTCCTCGTAGACCCTGGCGTACATGTCCAAGATCATCAGAACTTCTTCCTCCGCCTCCTTCTTCGTGGCAAACGCGGTATGGCCCTCCTGCCATAAAAATTCTCTGGTGCGTAGAAAAGGTTTGGGATCTTTGAATTCCCACCTCTGTAAACAGAAATAAGACAGATTGGAACGGAGCGAAATTAAACTGGAAAAAAAAAAAAGATAAATTCATAATGGCCAACTTACCACAACGTTATTCCACTGGTTGAGCCTGAGCGGTAACTCGGTGTCCGATCTCAGCCATTTGGCATAAGCCGGATACATTATAGTCTCCGAGGTGGGCCGTATAGCGATGGGCTCTGCCAAATTGGTTTCGCCGTATTTTGTCACCCACGCGACTTCCGGCGCGAAGTCCGCTACGTGCGCCTTCTCCTTTTCCAATACGCTGCGGGTAACGAAGATCGGGAAATAGCACTCCTGAACACCGACGTCCGTTATCTTCTTGTCGATGAACTCCTTTATTACCTTCCAAATCGCGAAACTCCACGGGCGAAGAATGTAACATCCGGACACGTCATAATACTCAATCATTCCGCTTTTCGTGATGACTTGCGAGTACCAGTCGTGAAAATTTTCCTCCTTTTTTGCTTCTAAACCCAATCTTGTTCCCGTTTTCTTGGAATCGGCGCCCTTGCTGCTATTTGCATTTTTCGCAACTTCTTTCTCCGATGTCTTTTCGGGCTTAGGAGTCTTTTGTTTCTCCTTTTTCGATGGTGCCTCCGAGCTCGCGGGCTTCCAATCTTGGCCGGTCGCATTTTTATAATCACTTTTCAAACTTAAGAGAACCTTCACTTCTTGATCAATAACGCTCTTGTCGGCTTTCGAGCTTTTCAGATTCCGTACTTTGTCGCCTTGCTTCGTTATCTCTTCGGATATCTTCTCCGCATTCGAAATCTCTTTCTTCTCTGGCTTTGTCTTGCTTTTACTAGCAACTTTAGCATCAGTTGGTTTCCACTCCTGATCAGTCGCATTTTTATAATCACTTTTCAAGCTTAAGAGAACCTTCACTTCTTGGTCAATAACGCTCTTGTCGGCTTTCGAGCTTTTTAGATTTCGTATTTTGTCGCCTTGCTTCGTTATTTCTTCGGATATCCGTTCCGCATTCGAATTTCCTGCGTTTTCTGGCTTTGTCTTGCTTTTATTAGCAGCTTTAGTATCAGCTGGTTTCCATTCCTGACCAGTCGCATTTTTATAGTCGCTTTTCAAATTTAAGAGAACCTTCACTTCTTGATCAATAACGCTCTTGTCGGCTTTCGAGCTTTTCAGATTTCGTACCTTGTCGCCTTGCTTCGTTATTTCTTCGGATATCCTCTGCGCATTCGAATTTCCTGCGTTTTCTGGCTTTGTCTTGCTTTTATTAGTAGCTTTAGTATCAGCTGGTTTCCATTCTTGACCAGTCAAATTTTTATAGTCACTTTTCAAGCTTAACAGAACCTTTACTTCTTGATCAATGATATTCTTGTCGGCTTTCGAGCTTTTCAGATTTCGTACTTTATCACCCTGCTTCGTTATTTCTTCGGATATCTTCTCCGCTTTCGAAATTTCTTGGTTCTCTGGTTTTGACTTGCTTTTAGTACTAGCAACTTTAGTATCAGCTGTCTTCAAATCCTGGCCAATCACATTTTTATAGTAAATAATACTTGCAAATTAATACCAACTTTACCTTTCGTTATTTATATATAACAAATTATTATTAATAATACAAAATTATACATTTATAATTTTGTATTAATAAATAAGATGTTAATTGAATGGAAGATAAGGCATACTAATTTTACCTGATTACGTGATAACGCTTCAGACGTCATATAAGGTGTTGTCGAATGTCCATCAGGTATATGGAACAATATGAGAGGTTGATCCCGTGATAAATAAGAATCCGATGCATAAGGAACATCACAAATAAAGAATCCCTTTCTCTGAAGCTGAATTATCTCTCCCTTCTTCACGCGTTTCAGTTCCACTTCACCCAGCATTTGAATTTCTTTCTAAAATAAATTTTTACACGCAGTTAGCAATATATATGTAGCATAATTGCCAGTTTACTTGCTTGTAAATAAAAAAAAGTTCTTTACTCTTGTATTCTTGGCAACAAAGTTTTGAAAATCGTCATCTTTGCCCAAAACCGGCACGCTCATAATGTGACCGAAGTAAACAGCATAGCACTTTATTGAATTTGATTTTTCTGCATTTGGATCAGATGTGGGCAACGATTCAGCCAGCCACGTGATCTTCAAGGTGTTCTTGTAATTCTTGTCCTCCAAATTTAATCGTGCTTCCACACCCACCACATTGCCACCTTGTTTTTTTATCTTTTGTATCATTAAGTTACCCCAATTAATGAAGGTCGTATTCTGTCCGTCAATTAATCTGTCAGCATCCTCCTTTTCTATCAAGATTTTCGGCCCCACTCGCACTCGTTTGACACCTTTAGATGAATCTTTAGGGTGATTTTGCACAGTCAACCACTCATCCTTAGCATCTACTACGTGAACCGGTATCATCTCATTATAATCCAGTGCAGTGTATCTAAAATTACAGATGTATTTAAAAGACATCCATACAATATTCTATAATATTATAGTACAAATATATTACAAATAATAAATTATATTCATTACCTGATCGCGACTGGATCGATGACTTTCTTGTTAAAAGCCCATATTTTGTCCCACTCCATGAAGACCACAGATCTGGAACTACCTTGTGCGATGATAAATTGTTTCAGACCCTCGACTGTCATTCCTCGTCTCAGAATGCCCCTCACTGTCGGAAAGCGTGGATCGTCCCATCCATCGACTAGACCCTCATTTACGAACCAAGTTAACTTTCGTTTAGATAGAACCGTATGAGTCATGTTTAACCGTGAATATTCCCAAATGTACGGGCGTCGTAATCCCAAAGCCTCGATCAGCCAGTAAAATTGAACGTCTCTGTCGTGATACTCGGTTGTGCGCAGAGTGTGAGTAACATTCTCAATAGCGTCGACAATTGGACAGGCGAAATCATACGTAGGATACACCCTAGTATAAACAGGTAAAAACAATAATTCTGCAATCAAATTGTAATTTTTAATATAACTCGTATTAATATTTAATATTTCGTATTAATATCTATATTGTATAGCAACATTATTACCAACATTAATCAAATTTATATATTATCGCTACATAAAATAACTAATGCAATAAACATTAATAAAATACAATCCAACGTTAAAAGATGTTTCAATAAAATTAATTAAATATTTCAAGTTATTGTAAATATATATCTTGTTAAAACATTGAGAAATATAGATACTTGTATTTCGTTCCAGTACGAGGATGAGGTTCTGGCTTGCAACGGTAAATTGTTGGATCGCGCATGCATCCGTTCGTTGACTGATAATCGATCTTTGCTCTGACGCAATGCTCTTGACCCTTCTCGGTGCCGCGTTTCATTTCTTCCCACAACGCCAGATTTTCGGCAACGGCTGCAAAGGCGAGATATTATTACACTCGAGATAATCAGAAAATTACTGTTTTTTTTTCTCAAAATAATTATATATTTACAGTTATCTCGATATTTTGATTTCAATCTTTGATCACGTTGTTCTTTCATAAGATTCGCCGGGGTGCCGTCCACGTAAGCCTTTCCATTCTTAATGAGTGTAGTACAATACTGTTGCATTATCTCGAAGTAATCCGAGGTGTGCGTAAAACGATCGGGCTTGATTTGCAGTAATCTTAAATCCTCCAATATAGCCTCCTCAAATTCTACGGTCTCCTTCGCTGGATTTGTATCATCAAATCTCATGATAAGTTGTCCTTGAAAGGCCTCGGCGTAATACTGGTTTAAAAGAGCAGCTTTAGCATGACCAATGTGCAGATAACCACTTGCTTCTGGCGGAAATCTCACCACTACCTACAGAAGTAAATGACAAAAAAAATGTTAAAAAATTATAAGAAATTAAAAAATCAAACTAATCTACTTTATTATACTATAAATGTCTTTACTTTGCCCATTTCTGCGCCAGGCAGATCAATAAATTTGCCCTCCTGTTTCCTCGTTTTCGTCTCCTTGACGGCAGATCTTTCCTCCTGCGGATTTGCATCCTTCGATTTCGATGATGGAGGACAATTTTTTGCGATCATGGATAATGCATTGTTGAAAGCAGGAAGCGATTCCATGTGTTTGTACCATCTAGTGATGTTATAGTAATCACTTGCGTACAATTTTACATACTCGTGGCGATACAAAACGCAAAATGTATGAATGTCAGCCAATGTTAATCTATTGGCGACTAGCCATGTGCGTGTCATCAATACATTATCCAAATAGTTTAAAAGCTCCTTATTTATTAGTTTATTTTGTAATATTATAGCGCAGGATATCCAGTGATCAATTTCTGTTCGTTGATAAGGGCAGGCATCACCTAAAAATAATATAAGTTACATGATGCAGTAAAATAAACCTTGATTGGATTTTGACATAACATTTACTATTTTATTAAAATAAAAGCTATATTTGATATTAATAATAAGATTTTTAGATTTGGTATATTTGAGCAATCACAAAAATATTCGTTGCAGATTATATTTACCATAAAGTAAGGGACTCATTGTCCTTGCCAGATAGCGGGTTATTTCATTATTATGTTGTCCCAATAACTTGTCATCTTTATCATACAAGCAAACGTCTGACTTGTCACTCTTAGTTTTATTCCATGATATTATTATATCCTTATTTTCAGACTTAATTATCTCGACGACTACCAACACATCTGTATAAAATTCAATATTTGAATCAATGATGAGAGCAAAAATATCATTTTTACATGTCTTTAATATCAATGTCAGATAAAGTTCACAGATGCATCTTAATATCTATGTCTAACAGAAAAGACATTCAAATACTTAAATACAATAGCTTTACATCTACAATCTAAGACAATAATTATTACATTATGTTGTTTTATTTCAAATTAAATTTAAGCTATCACATCGTTTCACACAAAATTAAATTTGCTATTACATTATTTTATGATGAATTAAAGTTTACAATAAATCTACCAGAACATCGATTTTTGGGATAATTATAGAAAACGTTTCCAGATACCCAAACATTGAAAAATAAAGCAAATTAATGTTAAGAGACAAATCTCAACTTAACTAGTTTTAGAGCAAAGTGTATTCAACATTTATTTCTGACATTTCACAAGAAACATACATATAAGTTCTTAAAGTCTTGCGTCATGTAGTGGCTGCGTTCCACAAAGCGCGTCATGCGCATGATTTATCCTTTTATCTTTGTTTATCATTGTTTATCATTATATTTGTTGAACAAGGATATCATGATACATCATGCGCTTTGCGGAACGCAACCAATGTATCATGTTGCAAGTATGATGAAATTATTGAACGAGTTTCATTTGTTCCTCAGTAAATTATTTATTTTTCACGTCACGCCTAATACAACCTGACGCGCTAATTTCATGGTATTGTTATCGAAAATGCCTCTGTTTATTGACTATGACAAAACATCTGGGATAATTGTCTTGAGCATGGTGTAAGAATGATCACATGGTCTTGAGTATACGACTTTACAATCTTTACATTACGTCGTCATTTATACGTGATGCAACAAACACAAGAGAGCGTCGACGAACACGACAAGAATACAGAAAGTGATTTTAAAAATTAAAAAAACTGAAAATTTATTTTCAAAAAAAGGAAAATAAACATTCGCCTCGAAAATAGTCTTCCTCGTTTCTGAATAGGGCAGTTTTCTACAAACTGAAAATGACAAAAGCGAACGTCAAACTTGAACCCGATTGATCGCGTAGGTTTTACCTATCACATGATGAACTGGGTTGACAGCGATCTTAAATGCCATTGTCCTCGCATTCACTCTAAGGAAAACAGATCCAGCATTAGCGTGCGCCGTGCACCGACAGAGGTTAGCAACCACTCCACGCGGCAGCAACTGGAATGAAGGGTAACCGATGACTAACGAGATCTGACGGAATTAAACGAGGCCTCTCGGCTCTCGCCGGAATAGCTCGGAGAAAAGGCCCGACAGGAAGGAAAAACGCATGCGCAGCAATCGTCCTCGAGTCTCGGTCGCATTATTTAATTATTGCGAGAACTAATCTCGCGGATTGGCAACGACGATAATGCCGTTGCAAGCACAAACATCGGAAAGGGCGAACCGTAACGCGTGTGATAGCAAATTTTGCTATTTCAGCTTCCTCTTTATAACATCCTCTGAGAGAGCCGCACCTTTTATCCAAATATTTTATACAAATCTAATCGAGTAAACATTCTCCATTAAATTAGAATTGCGTTTGGAGATCTCTAATATTTCTAATGTAGATTAACTTAATCTCGGTTTAACAGTTGCTTTTTCTTTAATTCTAAGAATTTAAAAAGGATAATAAATTAAAGCAAAGTCAAAGTTAATCTATTTTAATAGAAATAAATTTAATTAATAATAAAAATCAATTTTTAGAGAGATTTTCAAGATACAGATAAATAAAATTCTATTTCTAACTCAACGAACAATATTTACTCGGTCAGATTTATTCGTTAAAATAAAAAAAAGTGATACGTTATATGTATTTCGTTAATTTTTAAAGTTATTTTTTTGTATTATTTATGTTAGTGTAGAAAAATTGTATTTTTTATATATGATAGATATATATAATTTCTTTCTTTTAAGATATTAAATTATTAAAATAAAATTTTTAATCTCTCTCTCACTCTCTCTCTCTCTCTCT